TCGACTGTAATCATCGGTTAGCAACAAGAAGAATCTGCTCCCACCGAGACTTTGTTTTCATCGGGCCTACCAAATCTGCACGTATAAGCTCAAGACAAGTAGATGCACGTCTAGAAACTCCTACCGGAAAAGATCTCTTTGTTTGTTTGCCAAGAACACAGCCCTCACATAACTCCAATGATTCAATTTTAGGCAAGCCATAAACCATATCCTTTTGACTCAACAATTTCAACCATTCACATTTAAATGCCCATACCTTAAATCCCACAATTTAGACTCGCAAGCTGCTTTGACACCAAGTACACGTTCATCAACTTTCGACACCTCAAGTGGAAATAATTTGTTTGGCGTCATCTGAATATTGACAATCACTTCACCAGAATTTTTATGTCTAATCACGCATGACGAATTATCAAATAAAATGGCATATCCACTATCAATGAGTTGCTCAACACTCAATAAATTTTGAGTCAACGTAGGAACAAAATAGACATCATAAAGGAGCTTCAAATTACCCCGATCATTCATGACTTCAACGATGCCTCTGCCCTCAACTTGCATTTGTTTATCATCTCCGAGCCTTACTTGTAACTTGTAAGTTTCGTCAATCTCCTTAAACAACGACTTTATCCCTGTCATGTGATTAGAACAACCACTATCCAAAAACCATATATTATTAGAAGTGGTTGTATCACCCGCCTGGTCATAAACAACTTGAGTTCATCATCTCGTTGTTCTGCATAACAAGCCTGTTTTTTTCGCTTCCAGCAATCAGCTTGTACATGTCCAAACGTTTTGCAATAATAGCATTGCACATGACTTTTATTGCCTTGTAAATTATTACCACGCTGATTATTGCTCCGATCATTGAAGTGTGCATCTCCTCGTCCTCTGCCACGACCATTCCTCGCTTGGTAGCGACCTCTTCCACGTCCTCTAATGCCTGCATATTTCGGTTCATTTTTTTGCGATGAATCACCTTTAACATGAAAAGCTTTCTCTTCATGTTTTTCTTCCGATCTGCTCAGCCTTGCTTCATGGGATTGCAGTGAACCCATCAATTCATCAAAGGAATATGTGTTTAAATCCTTTTGACTCTTCAATAGCAGCAACCACATGATCAAATTTGGGAGTCAAACTCCTAAGAATTTTTGCAACCACAATTTGATCATTAACCCTTTCACTGTAGGACTTCATTTGGCTTACGATTCCAGAGACTCTAGTGAAAAAATCTTGCACCGTTTCTCCTTCCTTCATATGCGCAGTTTCGAAATCACGTCTGAGAGTTTGAAGTTTCACGGTAAGAACCTTTGCAGATCCTTGAAATGCCATTTTCAAGGTGTTCCATGCTTATTTCGATGTTGAAGCTGATGAAATCTTTGAAAAGATTGAGTCATGGACTGCTTGTTGTATGAAGAACAGCGCCTTGGAATCTTTTTTCTTATTCTCCCTCAATATCGCTAAATCGGGATCTTGCTCCAAGTATCCGGTCTCGACAAAGTCCCACAGATCTTGGGACTTGAACAGCGTCTTCATCTTAATGCTCCAAAATTCATAATTTTCGCCCCAAAGAATTGGAATTGCCGGCTGCGAGATGCTCAATCCGGAATTGTTTGCCATACCTGTTGAAACAATTATTTGTAACTTTCAAAATAGTTAATATGAACTTTAAGTTCTAGTAATTGTCAATAATAATCACACCCTGAAGTAATGGCATGAAGATCAAGAGTCCTATGGAGTTGTCTAGAAAGTCTCTTGGTTATACATATGGATGTATTTTTTACTTCATTGATGTGAAAAAAGAACTTATCCAAAAAGCATAGTCAGCAGCACGTAATATTTTATTCTGCAAGTTCTTCTACTATCTATCACACTACAAAAAAATAATATATTTGTAACGTAATTTTGTCCCTAAAGTTCACGTAGCTAACGTAATTTCATTCCTAATTCCGTCTCTAATGTCATTAGTAACGGAAAAAGTAGATTTAGAGACAAAAATGTTTTGTACAAAAATAATTTTTTCTTGTAGTGATCATACCCAACAAATATGGTATCAGAGCTTCAAAACAATGTCCAGTTCTGTTCCTACCATGTTTAAATATTCCCCGAGTGAGGTTCCAATCCTTGAAGGCGATCATTACAATTATTAGAGTAGTGAAATGCAAGATTTCTTCATTTCACATGACCTTTGGGATATTGTTGCAGATGGATTTGAAGAACCACCTGTAGAAGGTGCATCTGCAGCCTGGACTAACGCTTAGCAAAAACAATACAAAGAAAATAAGAAAAAGGATTGCACTGCACTTCGCTACATCAAGCAAGGAGTGGGTAAGACAATTTATCCACGGATTTTCAATAAAAAGAAGGCAAAAGATGCATGGGACGTGTTGAAAGAGGAGTTTCATGGCAATGACAGAGTTATCTCTATTCGCCTTCAATCTCAATGTAGGGACTTCGACAACTTGGCGATGAAAGAAAGTGAAAATGTGACTAAACTTTAAAAGAGCTGTTAACATTGTCAATCACATTGAAAGTTTGGGAGACACCATCCAAAGCAAGAAGGTAATCGAGAAGATTCTCAGAAGTTTACCTCCTAAATTCGACCATTGTGTTGCTGCCATAGAGGAATCCAAAGATTTGTCTGTGATGTCACTTCATGAGTTGATGAGCTCGCTTCGGGCTCATGAACAAAGGATTGAAAGAGCTCAAAATCAGTCCCTTGAGCAGGCCTTTCAATCGAAGACTTTTGTTTCAGCAAAGTCTCACCAAAATGCACCACAAAGACGGAATTTTTATAGAGGCGATCAACCCAACCGAGGAGGAGAACGAAAGAAAGAATTTGTTCCAAAGAACAGGGACGAGAATCTTGAGAAAAAACCAGCACGCAGCCCGTATTGCATTATATGCAAGAAGTCCAATCATGATTCGAAGGACTGCTTTCATAAGTGCAGGAGGTGTCGAATTCCTAATCACTCACAACGGGACTGTTGGTATCAAAAGAAGGGGCAAACTGAAGCAAATATCTTGAAGGAGCAAAATGACGAATCTGAGACATTATTTTACACGAGCGTAAAAGATGAAGATCAGAAATCCGACCTATGGTATCTGGACAGTGGCTGCAGTAGCCACATGACAAGTAATGAAAGCCAATTTGAGCAACTTGACAGGAGCTGTACTTCACACGTAAAGCTTGGAGATGGAAATGTTCAAAGCGAAAGAAAAAATATGTGAAGGTTGTATCTATGGGAAATGCATCGATTGCCATTTCCCAAAACCTCATGGAGAGCCAAAGCACCACTTGAGCTGGTACACTCGGATATATGCGGCCCTATGAAGACACCATCGATTAACGAGAAGAGATATTTTATCTTGTTTGTCGATGATTTCACGAGGTTGATGTGGGTATATTTTTTGAAAGAAAAATCAGAGGCATTCAAATCTTTTTTTAAGTTCAAAGCTATGGCAGAGAATCAAAGTTGCTGCCAAATAAAGACACTCCGAACTGACAATGGAGGAAAGTTTATATCTACTCCATTCCTACAACATTGCAAGGAACATGGCATCTCGAGACAGCTTATTGTGAGTTATACCCCACAACAAAACGGGGTCGCTGAAAGAAAAAATCGCACTGTGGTTGAGATGACTCGGAGCATATTGACAGGGAAAGGACTTCCAAATAATTTTTGGGCTGAAGCAGTTAATATTGTTGTTTATCTGCTAAACAGATCACCCACCAAAGCTGTGCCTAACAAGACTCCATTCGAGGCGTGGAATAAGAGAAAGCCGGTGGTCGATCATTTGAAGATATTTGGAAGCATAGCCATTGCTCATGTACCAGCTCAGAAACGTGAGAAGTTCGACAAGAAGGGTGAGAAATATATTTTCATTGGTTACAGTGATGAAAGCAAGGGGTACAGACTTTTCGATCCAAAGGAAAATCAGCTGACTGTTTCTAGAGAAGTCATATTCGATGAAAGTGGAGCATGGGATTGGAAGACCAAGAATGATTCAGATCATGAACAGCCATCAAATCAGCCTGGTCAGTTTGCAGAACCATTGCGATTACAGAATGAGCGCACAACTCAGTGAGAGAATGCTCCTGCCAGTCCAACTTCGGCTCAACCAAATCCAAATGATGAAGAACCGGATTCAGAAAATCCAATTCTGAAGGTACGACCTTTGCAAGACATATACTCCTCATGCAATTTTGCATTTTTCTCTCAGGAACCACAGAACTTTCAAGAAGCTGCAAAAGAAGAAATCTGGGTACAAGCAATGAACGAAGAAATTGATATGATTAAAAAGAACCGAACTTGGGAACTTGTCAATTTACCGGAAGGGAAGGATGTTGTTGGGCTGAAGTGGATCTACAAAACAAAGTTTCATGAGGATGGTTCAGTGCAGAAACACAAGGCACGTCTTGTTGCCAAAGGGTACTCGCAACAGCCCGGCGTAGACTTCAATGAAACATTTGCTCCGGTGGCGAGAATGGAGACCATTCGCACTGTTATAGCAATTGCGCCCATTATGGATTGAAAGTCTATCAATTTGATGTGAAGTCCGCTTTCCTAAATGGAGAATTGGAGGAAGAGGTTTATGTAGGGCAGCCTGAAGGATTTGTCGTGAAAAAGAGTGAGGAGAAAGTCTACCGACTTCGAAAGGCTTTATATGGGCTAAAGCAAGCTCCGCGAGCCTGGAACAACAAAATTGACAGCTACTTTGCAAGCTGCAGTTTTCAGAAAAGTCCAAATGAGCCCTCACTCTACATCAAGAAAGAAGGGAGTGATTTTCTTGTCCTTTGTTTATATGTTGATGATTTGATTTATTACGGAACTAACTAATCATTGCTGAAGAGTTTTAGGTAGAAGGTGAAGATGGAATTTGAGATGACGGATTTGGGGACAATAAAGTATTTTTTGGGAATGCAAGTAAGGCAAAGCGTAGGAAAAATTTTTCTATCACAAGAAAAATACATTGATGATATTTTGAAGAGATTCCACATGGCTACTTGCAAACCGATGTCCACGCCTATGGCAACAAATGAAAAACTCCAGCAGTTAAATGACTCGGAAAAAGTGGATGTTTCTCTCTTTCGAAGTTTAGTGGGATCTCTCATCTATTTAACTTACACGAGGCCAGACATCGCTTTTGCAATTAGTGTGGTGTCCAGGTACATGAATGATCCAAGAAAAAATCATTTTGCAGCAGCAAAAAGAATTCTGCGTTATCTTCAAGAAACCAGGAAGCTCGGTGTTCTGTATGGAAAAGAAAACGATTGCAATTTGGTTGGCTATGTTGATAGCGATTGGGCTGGCTCGATTGATGATAGAAAGAGTACCACAGGATATATATTTTGTCGTGGGAAATCACCAATATCTTGGTGTTCAAGGAAGCAAAGAACAGTAGCACTATCATCTACCGAGGCCGAGTACTCTACTATTACTGAAGCGGCTTGTGAATGAGTGTGGCTTAGGAGAATGCTGAAAGATTTGCAATTTAAGCAAAAAGGTGCAACAACAATCTTCTGTGACAACAAGTCGGCTATTTCACTAACAAAGAATCCCGTGTTTCATCCTCGTTCAAAACACATTGAATTACGTCATCACTTCATTCGAGACCTTGTGGCGAAAGGGGAAACAACCATTGATTTCATCAATTCAAGTGAGCAACCGGCTGATATTCTCACCAAACCCCTTGGTGCGGAGAAGATGGAGAACCACAAACAACATTTGAAAATTACAAATTAAGAGACGGTGTTGAAACAATAATTTGTAACTTTCAAAATAGTTAATATGAACTTTAAGTTCTAGTAATTGCCAATAATAATAACACCCTAAAGTAATGGCATGAAGATCAAGAGTCCTATGGAGTTGTCTAGAAAGTCTCTTGGTTATACATATGGATGTATTCCTTACTTCATTGATGTGAAAAAAGAACTTATCCAAAAAGCATAGTGAGCAGCACGTAATATTTTTTTCAGCAAATTCTTCTACTATCTATCGTACCCAACAATACCACGCTCTGATACTAGAATTGTTGCAAATCAAGAGAGAAATTGCCACCAAACTAGATTGTAGATAAATAGAGAACAAAACAGAGAGGAGAGATTGTGCAGGGCGTTTTTTTTTTTTTTTTTTTGGATAAACTTGAAAGACCTTCATATTATTCAATGGAAAATATCTCAAATATATTGAGATTACGTTCCAAAATAAATATGGAATAATTTTTAATCAAATTCACCTTCTAAAACTGAATATAGTAAATAATAAAAATAAAATATATCCTAATTATTTTTGAATCAAATCTTAACAAGAGCTTGTTGATCTCTCTTCCTCACTTTTTGCAAAGCTTCACTTTGAGCAGGCGTCAATGCGGCTTCATTCTCGGACACTTATAACCCTTATCAACAATATCTCGAACATCTTTGGAATAACAATGCTTCCATCAGAATACTCCATTTGCCATATCTTTATTTGAAGACTTTCAGAAACTGGAAGGGTACCATATATATCGGATAGAAGTTGATGGGTCTGATACCACTTTGATGAAGCACTATGAGAAAATAGCAAAGGAGAATAAATGGATAGAATTTTCTTCACATGTTGTCTTCACTACTTACACACATATAAATATATACAGTTAAATACAATGTGGATAAGACTAATCCTATACAACCAAATCGTTATTCTGCCATTATTCTCCTATCTAATTAATTCCATAATATAACAAAATTTTGATTGAGCACAAGAATATATAAATAGATATATATTGTTATGAATTTAGTCCAAGGTTCTATTGAAGGTTGCTCGGGCTGTTGATTATCAGCACCAAAGGAAATTCAATTGCTAGAGAAAGATGTACCCAACCCTCGTAATTACCACTGGTGTATGAAAGAGTGAATCAACCAAGTGTGTACCTTGAGGAAATTCCAGGAGTGCCTTACCTAAACCCTAGATAGTTTTTTTTTATGGAATATAGTTTTTTTTTTTTCTTTTTGTTAAAATTTAACATTCCTTATCAATTAAAAATTAGTTTTAAGAATAATATACAATTCACTTTTTATAAAATTTATAAAATCATTTGAAATGGGGTTAAATGAACACCACAATTATATATATTTTCTTATAATGCTTTCTTGATGTGTAATTTGTAATTGTTTGGGGGATTGGATTTTTAATCCACTATTCATCCCATTTTTCCCTCCCACTTCTCCCCAAAATATCAAATCAAACATCTATTTTTTATTTTTTATATTATACTAAAATCTAATTTTATATTCAAAACTTTACATCAATACCTATTTATATCACATCATACAACTATTCAAATTCAAAATTTTTACTATTCAAATCCCAACTCAAAATTCAAACTCCCAAACAAACACACTATTATTAGATTGACTATCAATAATTGTGTTTCTTATAGTTTCCCAAGAGCCAATAGTTTCCCATCTATCCAGTTTTTAGATTGACAGTACATTGTCATAAATTATTTTGAACACCAAATGAGCAATATTGCACGAAATAAAAATAAAGATGAATATAAGCTTACAATAAATAAGTGAAGCCAATAACAGATTATACATACTTTTCTATATAGACTTTTGTAAGTTTTTTAAAAAGGTTATGATATAGTATATATAATTAATCTTGCAAGTGGTGAGCAAAATAACACGATTATAGTTCATATTAAAAATTTATATTAACTCAATTATGATCCATTAATCTAATTTAGATATTTAATTTTATACTTTTTTTTATATTATTAGTTATATTGCAAACCATGTACACTAAATCAATACTGAGTTGATATCTCATACATTTAAAAGTCCAACCAATAAGATATTATATCAAAAAGGGTAAACTCCAATAGAAATTAAGTTGAATTATTAGCCACAAGCAAAAGATCATGAACAACACAACACACACTGTTTGCGATTGCTAGAGACACAAACATTAAATCAAGCAATACAATTTCGCGATCTAGCTAGTACCCATTATTAATTAATTAAAATTAAAAATCGTCTTCTTCGAGAATTCGAAGTCTATCTGCAACATCTCTACGGGAAGGGTCCTCAGCACGAATGGAGGGCCATGCATCAATGAATCTATTCCATTCGGCATGTCGCCTCTCCATCCAGTCATGAGATTCACGGTACTTTCTTCGCACCTCGTCCCGGGAATTCTGAATGTTCTTCAGTTCTTGCTCCAGAATATCCCGCGGAATGGATGATTGCTCTGACAGCAGTTTGTTGATCCTTTCTTGACCAAGTTCCAGAGATTGGTCCTCCGCAGCATATCCCATAAGTATGAACCGGTGATGTATGAGGTCCTTACGAATGTCACGCAGGATGTCGAGTATCTCCATCAGTTGACATTCGGCAGCAGGCGAAAAGAGGTACCAAGCCCTCGTTACCATTATTGCATAAAATACTGAATCAACCGAACGAGTGCCCTGAGGAAATCCCAAGTTGAGAAACCCATCAATTCGAGCGCGCCAATTTTTGGAAGCCATCACTGTACGTAATTAACATAAAATAAGTTAGAATCCAATGCAGCAGGTTTAGGAATATATATCATTGCCTCTGTATAGACCAACATAGCAGCAATATATAATATTGATGGATCCATTCCCATAATTATCCAAAAACTCAAATCCATAAGAGCCATAGAAGAAGAAAAAAATATATGTGATAATTGTTGTTGTTAACAATACAACCTCTATTGAGATTACAAATGAAACTATCCAAACCATATTATTTTAATATCACCCTTATAAGGTTGGAAATCCAATTCATCTAAATTATATGCAAATACCATATATTGAATATGTATATCAATACATATCCTTTGAAAATAAGAACACTATGAAAATTTTATTATCGAATTACCTAGCAAATATGATGATTGTATACAAAATAAGCGAGGAGACAACTTGAATGATTTGCAACTCATACAAACCTCCTTTATTTATAATCATGATGCATTTATTATAATTATATCTATATTTTATTAATTATAGATTTTATGAAGTCATTTTGGATTTAATTAATTAGTTATTTATTATTGGTATTACCATATATAAAAATATTAAATAACAATGAATTTCTTTTTTTCTTAAATTGCTTCCACACATAATAATTGAGTTACCTAATAACTATATATGTATATTTTAAAAATTTGTGAATCCAAGATTTTAAAAAGTTAATTGTAAGTAGAAAGAACACAATATGTTATGAGAGAATGAATACTTAATTGACTTTGATCCGATGGTTTACCGACTTCAAGTTTCAAGAGTTCGGTGGTAATAGTCATCTCGATCTACTGACATGTTCAATAATTCATATTAAGTAATGAACGAAACAATAATGAAGCATTAATTAAACATTTATGCAATATCAACAAATTCAGGAATCATAGAGTATATCGAAAGGAAATTTAACTATTAATTAAAGATAAAAGAATTCCTTTGATTAAAGGCAAAACAATCATAAAATGCATAATTGAAAGCATATGGTATAAAAGTCATACACAATATTAGGACAGAATTATAAAATTAGATTGAGACGGCAATATTAGAAAATAAATAAATAAATAATTCTCTTGATCCTATCGGGGACTCTGATGACTTTTGAGCTGGTTGCATTTGTCATGTGTTGCATACAATTAAAAGAGTTCTTCTAGATGCTGAAGACAATTCCCCAAAGTTATTGAGATTTTTGTTTTTGTTTTAACGAAAGAAAAGATAGTGCAAATACTGATAAAGGCGATAAGGACAATGAGAAAAAATTGTTGATATTAAAGTGGTTTTAGTTGCAAATGGACGCTGAAGGTGGTTTAAAGAGGCGGAAATTGTACTATTTTGATACCATTGGAATCGTAAAAGTATGATGTAGAATGAAGGAGTATGTGTGAGAAATTGCTAAGAAATTTTTGGAAACACATAGTTTAGTTATCCTTAATATTAAAAGAGATTACTGGTTATTTTGACGAAGAGCTTTGAGAGGTGAAACTCAAGTTTTCATTGTGAGACTCCTTGAGGGATTTAAAAATTTTATTTGCGTTAGAGCGAGAGCTGCTCCTTCTTTCTTGAAATTTCAAAAACTGGGGTTATATTCTTAAGGACAACCAGAAATTCTTTCGATAGAGATTGTTGTGATTCTTGAAGGATTTTTGAAAAGGAATTACATTTCGATGATAGCGGAGAAAAATGAGATTAGCACCCTGTTGAGCACAAAAAAAAAATAATAATAAATAATGGCAGTAGGATTCTGGATGGGTCTGAATATAAGCCAAACGGCCCAGAAGTCGGGCAAAGGAAAGTCGGACAAGGAAGGATGATCGGCCGATACGGAGGTCGTACAAGATAAGATCGGGCACGGAGATCGGACATGATAAAGTCGAGCGCTGAAGTCGGACATGATAAGGTCGGGCACTGAGGTCGGACATGATAAGGTTGGGCA